AGGGGCCCCGCGGGGTGCGCGGTGGGGCGTGTGCCCTCCTTTTTGCTGGTGCTGTCCGGCGGCTCGGAAGGGCGGGGAGGGCCCCGAGGGGCCGGGCGGCCTGGGACAGCTGCCCTGGCTGAGGTGCTTCCTCCTGTGGTTGCCTCGGGGCCGGGATGGATTGAGTACAGTTCGGACTCGCAGCCGCGTCCCCAACTTCTCCGGCCGGGTACCTCATCCCCAGGTAACCCCCCTTCCGGCAGACGGGGCTCATCCATCTCCCAAAAGGGAAATCGCGAAGTACAGTGCAGGCCCTGCAGCTCAGGAATGACACCGGCCAGCCCCAGTTCACCGGGCTCCCCGGGTTTATAGGGCCCTACCTGTCGCCCTTATGCAAGATAACTGTGCGTAAGCAATTCCCATTTTATTTAATGTGACATTTCATATTACTATCCAACTCGGCAATGGGAAAGTTCGGTCTAAGACTACATGTACAAATTGGTTCGAATGACTTGTCAAGTAAATTTTTAAAAATGGAATGCATCTTCTATCAAGGGATGAGCTAGATGACGATTTTTTTTTTTTTTTGTGACTGACGATTTGCAGCTCTTAAATTTAGGACCTGTTAACGTAGCTTTTGTTGCCTTTTCCTTTCATATCTCTTCCTTCTTTTATTTCTTTTATTTTTAAAATGTATTTTTATTGATTTCTGAGAGGAAGGGAGAGGGGGAGAGAGATAGAAACATCGATGATGAGAGAGAATCATGGATCCGGCTGCCTCCTGCACACCTCACACTGGGGATGGAGCCCGCAACCGGCATGTGCCCTGACCTGGAATGAACCCTGACCTCCTAGTTCATGGGTGGATGCTCAACCACTAGCCATATCAGCTGGGCTTTTAATTTGTCACTTTGTGAATATCAGTTTTTTTTTCTCACTGGAAAACTAAACATCAGATTTCAATTTTATGAGTGAGATGTTTGTTTTCAGAAAGAATACATGTTTCACCTTGCCTTTTTAGAAAGAATCAACATTACTTAAAGACATCTGAAGTCTCTTGTGGATTGTATTATTTGAAAAAAAACTTTATTGTTGAGAGTATTACAGATATCTCCCTTTCTTCCCCCATAGCTCCCCTGCACCTGGTTTCCACCCCACCCCAGGCCTTCACCACCGTACTGTCTGTGTCCATAGGTAAGATCTTTGGTTAATCTCTTCCTGTCCCCCCTCTCCCCCCACCTTCCTCTGAGGTTTGTCAGTCTGTTCCATGCCTCTGATTTCTGTTTTATTCACCAGTTTATTTTGTTCATTATATTTCTTGCTCGTTTATTTTGATTTTTAGATTCAATTGTTGATATGTATTTGTTGCCTGAACAGGCATTATACTAGTAAGTCATTTTTGTGGTGTTATATTTTTGTGTGTGCCTGTGTGTGCAGGCATGTGCCGCCTTAGGCCAGCTATGCTGAATTGTCCTTGGGGAGTGTTGATGGTTTGGCACATTTTATTGGGAATGCCCTGGATGGACTGGGCCCTGAACAGGGGAAAACAATGTCACCAAAATAGATATAGTGCTTGTCTCTGTGGAGGTTTTATTCTAGTTGGGAAGACAGATTTTAAATTCATCTTGACAAGGGCAATATGGAAACATGGAACAGGAGAACTTGAGGAGGAGGTCAGGAAAAACATTTTAAAAGGGACAAATGTTTGAACCTAAAAGAAAGGGAGGGGAAGTGTGGAGCGTCTTCTGCCCTGCTCCAGGGGACCTGGCGACCTCCTTCAGTGCATGACCTCTGGTGGGAAGTGGCTTTGGAGGAGGGGCTCTGCCTAATTCTGGAGTCTGACTGCAGAGTGGGGCTCATTTAGAGCTGGCCATCCTTGCTCTCCCTTGTGAGACCTACCATAAACACATGGCTGTAGTAATTTAAGTTTAAATGAATGAAAAGCCAATAAAATTTAAAAAGTCTGTTTCTTAGTCACCCGAGCCACATTTCTCAAGCACTCCGTAGCCACTTGGGCTGATGGCTGCCCTTTTGGCAAGTGCAGACATTGAACATTCCCATCATCCCAGAGAGCTCTACTAGACAGTGCTGCCCCAGAGAATTCTGAACTTACAGGCTATAAAAGTTTTCAGTTGCAACGGAAGTCCTATTTTAACTGGCATAAAAGATTACTAACTGCGTGTATATAAGTCTTGGGAGGGGACCCAGGGACTGACGCAATCAAACCCAAACTTCTGATGCCTTAAATAAGGAGTTTAGGAAAAACTCTCTTAGCTCAGAAGTACAGGCTCTGCCATCACTGGTCAGTGAAGTGACAAAGAGAGCCAAAACGTATACTTTTGGGTTTGTCAAAATGTTAAAAGAAAGTAAATATTTTTAGCTTGGTGAGTCATGTGATCTCTGTTGAAGCAAGTGCTCAATTCTACCTTTGTAGCAAAAAATAGCCATGGAGATAGGTAAATGAATGGCATGGCTGTGTGCCAATAAAACTTTATTTACAAAAACAAATGGCAGGTGGGCTTTGCTGAACACTGGAATGGAGAGAGCTCCCTGTCTGAATGTTCTTGCACTGGGTTTCCCTCCCCCAGTGATAATCAGTTGTCCTGCAGAATGGAGAGGGTGGTCCTTGCTGAGCCAGAATATCTGTGCTGTCTTACGAATCAGTCATCTTCCAGGACGTGGCAGTGGGTCTCATCTGGGAGTGGGCGTTGCTGGGCGGTGCTTGGGGGAACCTGTGCAGATTTGGAATACTGGACAACTGTAGGACACTGGCTCCTAGGGGTAAGGCTGGCATCAAATTGCATAAGTGCCTGCCACGCGACCACAAAGATGTGGTACGGACTTCGTGGTGTTTACCGTTCACTAGTTTCCACAGGATAACAGAGCATTGACTTAATTTTTTTCCGTGGTCAGGACTTCTGCTAGTCTCATTGACTTTGACCTTGGGCTTGAGGGCTTAGAGAACCTCAGCTCCAGAGAGGAGTGTGTTTGTGGTTTGGGCCCTGGGTTCGGTGATCATTTTGCTACCTTTGTACTCATTCATTGTCTTGAGCTGAAGTCCATGGGGAAGCTGGGAGGCTGGTGGGGAAGCATGCCCTCAGTCAGCATGTGTGTCTTTCTCCATGAGCAGAGGCACCACCATGCAAACCCAGGCTTGCCTCCCAGGTGGGGCCAAGAGAAGAGCTGAGGGCAGCAGACCGAGGCGTTCTTTGTGTCGTGGGTGTGGGTCAGTACCAGGGGACGCAGAGATCTTGTGACCAACCCTATTATGGGTTGGTACCTGGAAAGTATCAGTCTTAGAGCATTTTAAAGGCCCTCTATTTTTAGGGGAAACAGGCTATTTGGTATGAGGTTTCTCAAGTAAGTTGCGTGAGCTTTTTTCTGTTTTCACATTATAGCTCTTTGGTTTCAGAAAAAGATATGTTCCCCCTTTTTTTTTAAAGAAAATTTGCGATATTCACAAACCACAAGATGCAACCTTTTAAACCGCGTAATTCAGTGTTTTGTTTTAGCATATTTACAAAATTGTGTTATCACCACTACTGAACTCCAGAATATTTCCATCATCTCGAAATGAAACCTATGCCTGTTATCAGTCACTCCCCACTCACCTCCCTCCAGCCCTTGGCATCAATTGATCTGCTTTCTATTTATATTGATTTTCCTGTTCTGGACATTTCATATAAATAATCATATGACATGTGACCTTTGTAATGTCATCTTTCACTCAGTGTAACATTTTTGAGATTCATCCATGTTGTAGCATGCATCATTCTTTCCATTGTATGGATGGACCACATTTTGTTTACCCAATCAGTTATTGATGGACATTATACTTTTTGGCAATGTGAATATGTTGTTGTGAACATTCATGTACAAGATTTCATGTGGACATATTTTTAGTTTTCTTGAGTATATCCTTAGGAATGAAGTTGCTGGGCATATGGTAACCCTGTGTTTAACTTTCTGAGGAACTACCAAACTGTTGTCTAAAAACAGGTGCACCATTCTATGTTCCCTCAGCGGTGGATGAAGGTTTTGATTTCTCTACATCTCTACCCACATTGATTGTCCAATTCCTCTTTAAGTTAAACATTTCTATGTGTGTTGTCTAATTGCTTCTTTCTTGTTTGTCTGATAACATTCTTTCTGGCAACGTCATTCTCATTCTCCATGGAATCTTTTGCTCGGAAAAATAGCCTCTCATTTCCTCCTTGTTCCTGTCGCTTCCAAATTCCATACACAGCTCTACTCGCTTTGCTTTCCTTTCAGTATCTCCCCAAGTTTAGGATCAATATTAAAAAAAACCACATTTTTTTCTGTGTCAATTTCATATCACCATTTCTTTCTGAACAAAGTGTCTTTTTTTTTGGTTACATTTCATTTTAGATTGGGAATCTCAACCTAAAGCCAAAGAGTCTACTCCTATGCAGGATATTTTGGAGGAAAATTCATCTCATGATTTGCAAATGGTAAGATTCACGGCAGGTGATCCTTTATTCCCTCTCATTGGAGAAGTTGATGATACGAGGACACTGTGACTATGACTGTCCACACAGTCCATGACTCATTAATATGGGTGAACTCCACCTGTTTGTTGCTCAAGACTCTTTCTTCATAGACAGTTCCTCCAAGTAAACATTCCCATTGGTGTGAGTCAGACATCGATTGTGTGAAATGTGATTTACCTGCAGCAGTGATGAGAGACATGGTGTCTGTTTGGGCAGCCCCAGGACATTATGAATGTGAGAGAGCCTGGTGGTGGAGCCTGCAGTGTCTTCGAAGAACTCAACCTGTGTAAACAAGGTGCACCTCTTCAAATGCTGAAGACGTACCTCTGTTGGGAGCATCCCTGGGTGCGGCACAGATGCCGGAGAGCTTTTCATCATCATCCACCCCTTGTCAGGAGCAAACTTTGCCTGGAGCGAAGACATCTGAGGATTTAACTGTGGTGCGAAAGGCTTCTGGAGGAACCATACCTGGACATGAACAAGAGAACCCACAGGAGAGAGGGCCACACTGATTATAAAGAGCGTGGGAAAGTTGTCAGGGATCCCTCCCTGCTTCGGAGACAAGTTGAGACCCCAGACTGCAAAGAAGCCCTTTTCGAAGTGGAGAAGAGCCTTCAGAACCAGCTTGTACATTACAGTGTGTGATGCGCATGGAGCCCCTCCATCCCCACTTTGGCTCTGAGTTCCTGCTTTCTCAAACTGCAGGAGCTTCTGAAACGTGGGTTCCCATTGTTGGCAATTTTGAAGGTTAGGGTTTAGGTAGAGGGACACACAAAGCCCAGCTTCAACCCTGGACTGGGCCTCCTTGTCCCAGAGTCAGTGAGACCTCTGGGTTCCCTCAGTCTGCACACCTTTCCCTCCGTTATGGATGGTGTTGACCTCTGTGCATCATAGATGCTGGCCCAGGGGAAGGGGTGGCGTGGCCTGGGTTGTAGAGACCTCTGTCCTGTTCCTGTGTCCTAGGCAGGGGGAGCCTCACCCTGCATAGCCTGGTATGGGCTACCGGGCAGCCAAAACCCTTACCCTGCACAGCTTGCAACAGACCCCAGGGCAGCTGAGACCCCCTCCTCCCCAGGTCCTCGATGTCCTTGTCTTACATTCTTGTTTAGGTAGAGGATGTCTTCCAATAGCTGCTTGGAAAAGGGCATGTGCTTTTTGAGAACTTGAGATCTGCAGATGTGTTATTGGAGCTGCTGGATTGCAGGGGCCTCATCTGCCAGGATCGGTGCAGTAAACCCTTATAGAGCATTCCTGGAACTCTCGATGTTGGCTGAATGTAGGAATGAACAGATAGGTGCTGCTGAAGGCATCTCCAGGCCCTCACCATCTCCATGTTTTGACTGGCAGGTGGACTGTGGGAGGAGGAAGGATGCCACAACGGGCAGGTCCTCTCTGGTTTCTGTGGCTCTTTCCTCTCAGCATGGGGCTCCAGCACCTTCCGCAGAACTCCAGTCCCGCTCAGTAGTGAGCACCAAGTGTGGGAGATGAGGGGTCTCCTACTGCATCTGAGCCCCAGGAAATAAGCAGTCACAGAATGTTGAGTGGGCAGAGGAGATCCACTTCCAGATACATGTGGAGAAGTTGAGCAGTTCATCTCTAAGAAACATCAGCCACAGGTGGTCGAGTTGGATATGGAGCTGGGAGTTGAATCCAGGCCTAACTCCTCAGACCACCATCTCAAGAGGCAGAAGGGAGAGAGGGAAGAGTGTAGGTCAGAGCCTTTATTGGGGTTTCCACAGGGCAGGGAAAACAGGATTGGTGAGTCTGAATAATTCTGGGGGACCTGGTTGTCTGGCACCTGGTCTGGGTGCTTTAGGATGGGGGAGTATTGGCTTGTATGAGAAATGGCCAGGGAGGTGGTTCTCAGTGGCATGGGAGACGTAAACAACTGGCCGGTAATTTGGCCCTATGATTGGTGGATGCCAAATATACAAACACAGAGTCTAAGAAAACACAGACCATGGTTCATACTCAGAACCGAGGGCTTCCAACCTTTCTGTGATCCAACATTCTGTAGTGCCTCTGAGGGCTTGTGGCCTCACCTCCAGCCAGGGCCCCCCGAAACCAGAAGGGGTCAGGTCTGTCCTGATCTGCCCTTGGAGACCCTTGGTGGTGGCTGGTCCCTTCAGTGGAGTAAAAGAGTCATCAGGTCTGAAACTGCCAGACCCATGTGCCCCAATTTCTGACTTCATTATTCCTAAACCAAGGGTCTCTGAGGCCAAGAAAAACCTCAGCTACCTTTGTCCTGATCAGCATTCTCCACTTCTTTTCTTAGGGGCCAGGGCTTGATTTGAGGATGCAGATCCAGCCCATGATGGGAGAGAGGGAGAAACTTTCACCTCCAGAGGACCGGTCACCTCTCTGGGAGTCCCCTTGGTCCTCTGGATACACAGTAAGTTTGGGAGGGGTTTTGCTGCGGGGACCTCAGCCCGTAAGGCCAGGGTTTAGGATTTCTGTAAATGAGGAGGCCTAAGGGGAAGAAGCATCTAGGGCCCACTGTTGGAAACTTGAACATGCTGGAAGCCTTGGCTTAACTCCTAGTAAGAACTGAACAGGCCCTAGCATTTCTTCATAGAAGGCAAACCTCGAAGGTGGCAGATGGCAGGGATTAGTGTTCTGACCTTGCCTTTTTTGGTCCAGCCTTTCTTCCTTCCAATCTTTCCACCCTTACAAACATCAGGAAACCTATAGGAATGAGCAGGTCCGGTGATCTAAGGGCTGGGTTAGGAGTGTCCAGGCTGATGACTGAGAGTATCAGAAAGGGACACTTCCCCGAGGAGAAGGGGCCTCCCACCAGCTCCTGCCCATCACCTTCCCTCAGAGACCTGTGCATTTACTTCCCATCCACCACCAAGTCCTGCGAGCTTTTCTGCCAAGCCATAACCTTCTTTTGACTGCTCTCCTGTCCCCCCTGCGACCACCCTTCCTGGAGTCACTAGGAACTGCTTTTAACAGACTCCTGCTTCCGCTGGTCCCACTCTGGGCATAGAGGCCAGCAGCATCCCTTCGAAGTGCAGGTCAGGCTAGATACCTTTCCAGAGAGAGCAGCTATCAGTAGAGAACCATTCAAGTCCTTTCTTCCACAACAGGGCTTCCTTCCTAACTCCCCTCATTTCCATGGGTTCATGCCTTCTACTCCTATCCCTCAACCTGCTGGCACCCACTGCTAGCTTTGCTCCAGCGTTTCCCCCACAGCTGGAGGCTGCTCAGAGGAGGCCTCCTCCTTGGGGGCCCCTTTTCTCTATCCTTGGAGTCGCAGTTCTAACACAGTGGTTAGCCTTGTCCTGAAGGATTGGGTAACTCTGGGCAGGTAATCAGGGCATGTCCTCGTATCACATGTTCTCCAAATCAGGACCAGTCATGAGTTCAGTCAGTGAGCAGGTGTGAATGGATCCCTTCCATCACCATGTGGCTCTAATCTGTCCCTGTCACTCCGTCCAGGGACTGAAGGCGGCTGTGCAGATTCAGGGGGTTGCCACGCCGGAGCCTGCACTGGGCCTTCCCGACCCCTGGGCCAAGGGTTCTGGTGAGTGAGTCCTGGTGGAATCAGTCAGAGGGCCTGACTGTCTGGTGGGAACTTGCATCTCCAGCCTTCATTTCCTCTGATAGCAGTCAGAGTACTTAAAGGCCTCTCTCATTATCTGTGCGTTCAAGGGGAAAGACATTTCACAGTTCTCAGGTTTTTGTTTTTGTGGGTTTCAGATCTTTCTGTTTTGAAAAAGTAGGTCCTAGTGTCAACAACAAACATGCTCTTTAACCAAAGGAGCTATTGTCATAAAACAATTGCTATAGCCCTGTGGCCAAGTGGCTCAGTTGATTGGAGCATTGTCCTGTATGTCAAAAGGTTGCAGGTTCGATCCCCAGTCTGGTCATCTATGGGAGGCAACCAATTGATGTTTCTGTCTCTCTCTTTCCCCCTCTGTCTTTCTTTTTTTTTTTTTTCTCTCTCTCTCTCAAATATATCCTCAGGTGAGGATTAAGATAATTGATATTAAAAAATTGATATATTAAAAAAAAGAGCAGGCCCCACTCAGCTGTGGCAAAAGGCCAGACCTCTCTTTAGGAGAGAGTACATTGTTTACTACACAATTATGTAAATGGCACATTTCCTGAGAAGTAGGGGAAAAATTCTGGAGGACAGACAGCATCTTAACTTTAATTGCAGGCACTGGATTACATCATAATTACTGTATCAAGTAGTTTTGCCAGATATTGTGCTGTTTGGAGAGAGTTTGGAGAGAGGATTTCAGGCCTAGGAACAGCTTCTGTAAAACCTCTCAGGGCCTGATATGCCCAGGGGCGGGCCCATGGGAGGCTGTGGAAGGGGCAGAGGGAAGTGGAGAGTGGTATGAGCTGACGAGAGTGAATGGGCTCCAGATCATTTAGGGCCTGGAAGCATGGGAACAGAACCCTGGCTCATGTCCTAAGGCTAGAGAGAGTAGGGGCGCATTTAAGTGAGTGGTACCATGCACCTAACAGAACTCACAGCACCTGGGAGAATGATGGGCTTCAGGGAAGATGTGAGTGGTGGGTGAAGGCAGTTAGGAATGGAATGGTGGTGACCTAGAGTTGGGGCGAGTGTCCCAAAGACCACTCCCAAGTTTGGTGACTTACTAGAAGGTCTCATAGGGCACAGCATATAGTTGTATGCATGGCTATGGTTTATCACAGTGAAAGGATACCAAGCAAAATCAGCCAAGGAAAAAGGTGCATGGGGGTGAAGTCTGGAGGGAACCAGGCACAGCTTCCAGACTCCTCTCCCAGCAGAATTACATGGGAAGCACTTAATTCCCCTCAGTGGGCTGGGACAACACATGCAAAGTGTTGTCTGCCAGGGAGGCTCATTAGAGACTCAGCACCCAGGGTTTTCACTGGTGGCTGGGCAGGTAGGCACCCTCTGCCCAGAACATACCTACGTCCCAGACTCCTAGAAGGGAAGCAGGCATTCAGCACAAACTACACTGTAGAAATTGTTTAAGCAGAGTGAACTCCTCTTGTCAGGTAGGATGTTAGGATCCCTCTTGAAATCCAAGTTTCCAGACCCCAGCCAAGGTCCAACTTTGCCATCAGGCCTTGCTAAGGAGCACCGTCAAGCCTTCTGTGTTAACTTTTATCTGCACGGTAGGTAAGCATGGAACATTCATTCTAAGACACGTAGGAGGTCAAATTGAGACAATTTGATGAGTAGTCTGTACATTTCATTTACCAGAGGATCCAGAGCATTTATGTGCCAAATGCCGTGTGGGGACCAGGGTTGTGACATCTAAGTCATGAGGGAGTGACATTTAAGTGGATCCAGGAGGGAGAAAGGTATGATGTGGCATTAGCTATGGTGAGGACAGGGTTAGGGGGGAAGGAAGTGGGTGGGTGGAGTTGGGGAGAGGTGGGTGCTTTAAGTAGAGATGTCACAACTGATTTATTTTTGGGGGGATTAATTTTTGGGGCCTGTAGAGTGTCAGAGAGGGGAGAGATTTCACATCTGAGGCAGGGATGTCACCTCCTGAAATTGGGAACACTGGAAGAGGAATAGCCTTTGAGAAGAAGGTGGTGAGCGCATTTTGTGTGTGTGTGTTGGGGGTGAGGGTGGGGAATGAAGCAGAAATTTATATCTCATAGTTCTAAAGGCACAGAAGTGTGAAATCAAGATGTCTGCAGGGTGATACTTCCTATGAAATTTGGAGGGGAGGGTTCTTCTTTGCCTCTCTCCTGGCTTCTGGTGGTTGTTGGCATCCTTGGTGTTCCTTGGCTTGTAGCTATATCAATCCAATCTCTGCCTGCATTTTCCCATGGTCTTCTCCCCTCATCTGTCTGTTTCTGTGTCTCTTTTCCTCTTATAAGGACACCAGTCATTGGATTAAGGGCCCACTCTGCTCCACTGTAACTTCATTTAACTAATTACATCTGCAAACACCCTATTTTCAAATAAGGTCACATTCTGAGGTACCATGAGTTAGAACACTGATGACAAACCTATGACACGCGTGTCAGAGGTGACACACGAACTCATTTTTTTTGGTTGATTTGTCTTTGTTAAATGGCATTTAAATATATAAAGTAAATATCAAAAATATAAATCTTTCTTTTACTATGGTTGCAAATATCAAAAAAATTTCTATATGTGACACGGCACCAGAGTTAAGTTAGGGTTTTTCAAAATGCTGACAGGCCGAGCTCAAAAGGTTCGTCATCACTGAGTTAGAACTTCCTCTTTTATTTGGGAACACAATCCAACCCATAACAGTCTGCCCTCTGGCTCCCACAAATTGGTGCCATCCCCACATGCAACTGTGGTCCCAATGTTCCTCCAATTTTTACCCATTCCAGCAGTCTTAAAATTTCATCTAAATCTCATCAACTGAAAAAAGGCCCAAATTTTATCATGTAAATCATCCAAATCAGATATGGGTGAGGCTTAGGGTGTGATCCAGCCTGGGGCAAACTTCTCTTCATCTGTGAACCTGTGAAATCAGAAAGGAGATCTCTGCTTCCAGAATACAATGGTGGCATTTCCATTCCCAACAGGAGAGAAAAAAGGGGTCACGGGTCCCAAGCAAGTTCACAGCCCAGCAGAGCAAGATCAAGGCCTGAGAATAATCCTTGTTCATTAGAGCTGCCTGCTGGGACGACAGCCTTGCTTTCTAGCTTATTCTGGATATTCCATTCTTGTTTCCCCAGAAAAGTAAGTGTAGAGATTGGAGCCGATGGTTGGGTGTAGTTCACAGCCCAGCAGGGCAAGATCAAGGCCTGAGAATAATCCTTGTTCATTAGAGCTGCCTGCTGGGACGACAGCCTTGCTTTCTAGCTTATTCTGGATATTCCATTCTTGTTTCCCCAGAAAAGTAAGTGTAGAGATTGGAGCCGATGGTTGGGTGTCTGGTCTGGAATTCAGATCTGAGTCAGCATTGTCAAGTAGAGTTGGCCAAGTAGAGGGGCAGGTTGCCAGCTGAGGCAGAGAGTACTGAGGGAGATGAGAAGAGGAAGGTCTGCATAATGGGGAGATGGAGGAGGTGCTTATACAAAAAACTGAGAAGGAGGCTGGGAGTGTGGGCACTGTGCATATCCCTATGAGTGTGTGCATGGGTGTGTGTACACATGTGATCACTAACAATCAGGGTGGGCAGCCCTTGGTCCTGTGAGTATGTTCAGTGGGCTTCACAGCTCTCCCCTTCTCCTCTAGCTCTGCTTGCTCAAGAGCCTGTGTGGCTACAGGAGGAAAGCGTAGAGAAAGAAGCTGTGGTTCCTGGCGTGCTGTCTACCTGTGTACAGGTAAGTAAGAAGTGCTCCTTGCTCTTCTTTCTTGCTTTGCCCCCTGTCCCCTTCTCATTACCTGGAGCTTTTAGACCCCACAGGGCTGGCCTCCAGGCATCTAGGAATGGGGCTTCTCTCAGTGGGGGGAGGACAGCCCTGGCAACGAACACGCCCCCTTAGTCAGACCTTCCCCAGGTTGTTAAGTGCCATGTTCTGCTGAGCATCAGGAGGGAAAATAAAGCCAGGATGTGAGCTGTCCTTGTCTCCTAACCGTCATGGTCCCCTGCAGCAAATATTTCTCTCTTGCCTTTTTCTTGCCTGCCATATGCTTAGGTCTGCTGGACCCTGGGACTGAAGGGAATAAAACTGAAAGGGCTTCCTGGCTAATTGTCAATAGCTAAGTCCTGTCATGAAGTTGAGGTCCTTTGGCACTACGCTTCTGGGTGCTATCCCTCAGGAAGGGAAGAGTAGAGAGAGAATTCTAGTTTTGAGGCCTATGCCTAAGGGCAGATTCTGAGGTACCTCAGAGCCCCATCTGAAAATCCTCCACACAGTGTCTCTGTTCCCAGGCTTGCCAACTCCCCACCATCCTCTTAAGTGTTGGCAGAAGTGGCCCTTGACTGAGCCTGAATGGGTGTGCATTTTAGGAACCAGTCACCTTTGCAGATGTGACTGTGCTCTTCACCCCAGAAGAATGGATGTTTCTAGACTCTGCCCAGAGAAGCCTGTATAGAGACGTGATGCTAGAGAACTACAGGAACCTGGCCTCTGTGGGTAAGACTGCTCTCATCACTTCATATGCTCATGCAGCAAGTATGGGTTCCTGGAACTGTGCTGATTTGGAAACTGAGAGATGAAAAGGCAGACAAGGCCAGGCTGAGGGACCCCACCAGTGCACGAATCCGTGCTTTGGGCCTCTAATATGTATATAAGATCTTTGGTACATCTCTTCCCCCCTTGCCTCCCTGCTCTCTGAGATCTATCAGTCTGTCCCATGTTTCCATTCCTGTGGTTTCTGCTCCTGTGTTGAGTGTCTGCCCCCTGGTGGTAAGTGTGCATCATAGCTACTGGACGGTTGGATGGTTGCTTAGGCTTTTATATATATAGATAGTCTAGTGGCCTCCCCATGGAAATGAATATCTATCTGCTGTTCCTGGGCTTCTCAAATACATACATCCCTGAGCTAGGCCCTAGGTTTTGGGGACTGGAATGTCCCCGTGTCCTTGGGGACCCAGTGAAGGAGCTTGTTCCTTGGTGAAAAGAGCTCTGCTGTGTCCATCCACGTTTAGGCATGCGCATTTCACCGCTCCCATCTCCAGTGCTCCTAATGACTTCAGAATATCAGCCCTGGCTTCATGGCAGGAGTAGTTTGCCCACACCATGTGTCTTTCCCCACGAGCAGGAGATCGACTATGCAAACTCGGCACCTTTTCTTATTTGGAGCAAAGAGAAGAGCTGTGGATCACTGATAGAGGGATGTCCCCAGGAGTCCAAACAGGTTGGTAAGATGAATGCTCAATTTGGAAAGTATCAGTAAGGGACATACTTTCATTGCCTTTGACAGAGAAGGCTATTGGTTGAGCTCCCTTAGTGAGTTTCACCTTTTTTCCTTTCTCTTTTTATCTCAAATACATTACTCTGGTTTCATAGAACAATTTATCCCTCCTTCCCTTCACATTTAGCATTTTCATGTGTGTATTTCATCCAGTTCCTCCCTCCTGTAGATTGTTAATACTTTCTCTCAATATCATAGAATACTTCCTTAGTAAATTATCTACTATTTCTATCCTTTGTCTCTGTGATTTCGTGACTCCTCACATAGCCAAATGCCTTAAAATTTTCCTTTGCTCTCTGGTGCATTCTCCTTTTCACCCTTTCGTCCTATATTTAAGATCAGTATTTAAAAAATAATCTACTTGTCCTAGCTTGCTTTTTTGGTCATCTTGATCCTAGTTTCCTTCTCTGAACATTTAATTTCTCCCCCTCACCTTTAATTCATTTCAGAACCTCAACCTCAACCCCAAGAGTCAATTCTTAACCAAGATACTTTTGCGAAGATTGTATCCATTGGCATAGAAAGGGTAAGGTACACAACAGTTATTCTTGGTCCTCTATAACAGAAAGTCTGGAGTTGCTGCTGGTTAGAAAAACGGCACATGTGGCTAGAGAGAGATTTAAGGCAAGGGATGCTCATGCAAGAGAAAGCGTTTTCTTGGTAGAGAGTCTGTGAATGTCATGATGAAGTGGGAGAAACTTGAAATGTAGATTAAGACGCATCTTTATAGAATTCCCACAACTCACCATGTTCCTAAATGGGACACAGACATAGTGTAGTCTTAAACAATTCAGAAAAAGTCTATATCTAAGAAGCCGTTTGCAAGTAATGAAAATGATAGCTCTTTGTGGCATTGCATCCACTTGATAGAACTTAGAGTAAGAAATAGTACGGACACATGAAAATGGTAAAAGCTTCAGCTATAGAAATGTTCTTGATTCTACACACAATTTACTTGGGGGAGAAGGTCGATGATTATAATGAAATACTTGGTCTTCACATTTTCCTCAATTGACAGGAGCAACCCCTGCCTGGAGAAAAACTCTATAAGTATAATGAACTTGGGGAACCCTTTAACAGTATCAAACAACTTTTCCAGTGTGAGAGAATTTATGCTGGAGGCAACCCCTATGAATGCCCAGAGAGTGGGGAATCCTTCGCAATTTTTTCAGTGTGAGAGAATTTATGCTGGAGGCAATTGCCCCTATGAATGCCCAGAGAGTGGGGAATCCTTCCAGACCACTCACCTAATAGTGCACGAGAAGACCCATAGTGGGCATAGTGGAGATAAAACCTACGCGTGTAACAAATGTGAAAAGTCCTTCAGATACAGCTCTGACCTTATCAGGCACGAGAAGACCCATACCTCAGAGAAGTACTTTGAATGTCAGGAATGTAGGCATGCCTTCAAGTACTCCTCGAATCTGCGACGCCACATGAGGACACACACAGGAGAGAAACCTTTTGAATGTAGTCAGTGTGGGAAAACCTTCACAAGGAACTTTAACCTGATTTTGCACCAGAGAAACCACACGGGTGAGAAGCCCTATGAATGCAAGGACTGTGGGAAAGCTTTTAATCAGCCGTCTTCTCTGAGGAGCCACATGAGAACTCACACTGGAGAGAAGCCCTTTGAATGCAGTCAGTGTGGGAAAGCTTTCAGGGAACATTCGTCACTGAAGACTCATCTGCGAACTCACACCAGAGAGAAACCGTATGAGTGTAACCAGTGTGGAAAGCCCTTCCGAACGAGCACCCATCTGAACGTTCACAAGAGGATCCACACGGGGGAGAAACTTTATGAGTGTACTACTTGTGGTCAGGTGTTGAGTCGTCTCTCAACCCTCAAGAGTCACATGCGAACCCACACTGGAGAGAAGCCCTACGCATGCCAGGAATGTGGGCGAGCCTTTAGTGAGCCCTCATCCCTCAGGAAACATGCAAGGACCCACACTGGCAAGAAGCCCTATGCCTGTCAGGAATGCGGGCGAGCCTTTGGTCAGTCTTCACACCTTATTGTGCACGTGAGAACACACACTACAGGAAAACCCTATGAATGTAATCAGTGTGAGAAAGCGTTCAGGCACAGCTCTTCACTTACTGTGCATAAAAGGATTCATACCAGCCTGCCTTTATCAGTGTCTCATTCATTTGGTAGGCCCCTTGCTAATTAACTTCCAATTTGTAAAAATATAAACATTTGTGCCTATAATAATCTCTTATAGTACTTGTTTAGCTTCATAACATGTTTTGATGTCTAATTTAATTTTTGGTTGATTCTAAATATTGTCTTACTTTCCATTAAATCTTTGACACATTACTTATTTGTAATTAGATATTTAAATAACTGCATGGTTATATTTTTGTAGAGGTATAATTATTTATAGTGGAATGCATAAATATTATGAGTTAGATGAGTTGGACAGATGTATATATACATTTAACCAACACCCCATTCAAGATATAGAGCATTCCTGTCATTCTGGAAAGTTGCTGCATATATCTGGGTGTTTCTTAGTTGCCTTTCGTTGATTCTAAATATTGTCTTACTTTCCATTAAATCTTTGACACATTACTTATTTGTAATTAGATATTTAAATAACTGCATGGTTATATTTTTGTAGAGGTATAATTATTTATAGTGGAATGCGTAAATATTATGAGTTAGATGAATTGGACAGATGTATATATACATGTAACCAACAACCCATTCAAGATATAGAACATTTCTGTCATTCTGGAAAATTCCTGCATATATCTGGGTGTTTCTTAGTTGCCTTTCTGTTGTTGGTTTCTAATTTAATTACATTGAGCAGAGTGTGTGGTCTTTGGGTTTTTGTTGAGATTTCTTTTTGGTCTAGTATGGCACATCCTACTAGTTGCCCTTTCTTCTTCACAACAGAACCTAAGTTTTTTTGTTCACATTGGTAATGTGCACTATTAAAAAACCCCCATCTCCCAGTCCTTCTTGTCGTTAGAGGCCACATCGCCCAGTTCTGGTCAGTATGAGAAGTCGCTGGGTGTGCCTCCTGGGAAAGAGGTTGGAAAGGAGTGGTTTCATTTAGCCGGGTCCCTCTACTTGCCTTTTGCACAAGCAGACATGGTGTCCAGTGCTAGAGGAGCCATCTGTGACCATGAGGATTAAAGCCACGGGCTAAAGAGAGTGTGGCCAGAAGTTACAAACATTCTGATTCCCTAATTGGTATCTTTATGTCTCTGCACCAGCTCCGAACTATTTATTTCTGAATATCTTGTTAGATGCACTTCTTACTAGTACATGACATTGGCTTTTTTGAGGAGGGAGGTGGGGAAGGGAAGGCAGAGATGGGCTTATTACAGTCGAATACAATTTCTAACAGATGCACGTAGTATATGGTCAGTTTTTATAAGTGCTTCATGGGTGGTTGAAATCAATGTATTCTACATATGTCTACTAGATCCAGCCTATTATTTGTGTTTCAAAATCTGCACGTTTATAATAAACATTGGTCTCTGTCTTAATCAGTTCAGGCTGCTATAACAAAAATACTATAGGCTGGGTGGCTTATAAACAACAGAAATTTATTTCTCACAGTTCTGGAGCCTGGAAATCTAAGATCAAGGCACTAGCAAATTTGATGTCTGCTTCCTGGTTCACAGATGGCCAGCTTCTCCCTCTGTACTCACATGACAGAAGGATTGAGGGAGCTTTCTGGTGTCCCTTATATAAGGGCACTAATCCCATCCAAGAGGGGTCTACTCCCATAATCTAATCACCTCCCAAAGGCCCCATCTCCAGCTACCATCGCACTGGGGAAGGCATTAACATATGAATGTTGGTGGACACAAACATTTGGTCCATAGCAGTTTCTGATCTATCATGTACTAAAAGAGCTACATTTAACTCTTCCACCATGGTTTTGTATTGCTGAATAAATCTTGTAATTCTATCAATTTTTAATTTATATATTTTGAAGCAATAAACTTTTTTGGTATTTTTTTCTGGTATCTGCAAAGTGTTTCATTTTTTTAATTAAAAAAATTGTTATTGTTGGACATATTACATACTGTATTT